TACGTTTGCTGAGTTTTTGTATTATTCAGTTTGTTGGGATATTCAATAATATGTATTTACAGGAGATGTTTCATTCATATAGATATTGATTTTTTATTTCCGTCATATGTGTGCAATAAATGTAAAGGCAACCCAAAAACAAAATTATTAGCTCCACTCACATAATCACTATTTATTAAAAAATGACTCTCTTCAAACACATCGTGGACAATACGAATATATTGTATGTCAGCTAATCGGCAATATGATTGGTTTGTTCAAAGTTTAATCTGTCGTATGCAGATATAAATATAAACACGAAAAAATAGAGGAAAAATAACGAATATACCAATTTGTTGAAAGCCCATTTTCCTAAATTATAGTCAAATTTATCAAATTGTGTTCAAAAAGAAGATAATTAATAATAAAAACTAAAACTATATAGATCTAAAATATGACGTCATTAAACAATCGACGACGTAATAACATAAACCCATTTGGAATGTACGGGGTGATGCACGATTTTGAAATGTGATTAACTTTATATAATAAGGATCAATTCCTTCTTTACCGACAGAAACACTCACAATAATTATATTTGCATAATCTTTTGACTTCATCCTATCCGCCTCTATTTAAAAATCGTTTCAGAATGTCACTCATTCAGTTTTCTTCGTCTTTTACGTTTTTATTGATAGTGACTGTGTTTAATTACAAGAACAGCAAATCTTTGCCTTAATCTAGAGCGCTTTGGTTCAAAAAAATAACTGTCTGTGTCCTATTAGAGTAGAAAAAAATCATGGAGACTTGAATGTATGTAAAATTTCTGACGTTTTTGGTAGCATGGGCAGAAAATTATTGTATTATTGGTACTAGCAATGAGGCTTATAAGTTTACGTCACGAGGTACTAGTCACGTGAAAATTTGATAGCGGGATTTTTTTCCCCAATGACCACCAAGTTCTTGCCCGCCGCAGACAGGGCATCATCCAAGCTCAACTGGTATAATGAATATATTATACATGTATTTTTTTCAAAGCTTGACACGTTCGAGTATTTCTCTTCAGACGACTTGTCTAACGGGGTTCGGACACAGGTTTCAAGTTTACCATAATATTGGCTTTGTTGTTTTGTTCCTAGCTGGCGAGGTAGTCCATGATTGAGTTATTCAGTTTACTTTCATGTCAGTCGTATTTTATTTTTGTCTGTTTTAGGTTCACATTTTTGTGCCTTAATTCATGATTTTAAAATTGTTCACTATTGTGATTATTGTCTTTTCTTTGTATTATATATTTTTAATATATGTAAACAATTAATAAATTCCGTTATCCAGTATGCATGCTGGGATATCGGCAATACGATATACTTGTATTTATTCATACCTTCATAGAGAATACTTGATATGAGCGTATAGTGTATACATTGATTTTACCACGGATTGTCACTTTGTGGCGATATTTTACCCCGTGCTATCACTCGTGGTAAAATATTTTGGCATTAAGGACCAACACGTGGTGTCAACTCAAGCCCCCATGGATTATTTTAGCGCATTGTTTGTTTGCTTGCAAAAAGCGACAACGTTACATTTAAAATGCTATAACACTCGTAATTCACTCGTAATTTCATTAATAAAAAAAAAAGTGGTTGGTATTATATATTGTACATTTGAATAATTGATAGAAATATGAAACGACAAATTATTATCATATAATATATATTAACAATTATTGCAATCAAATGAATGGTATGAACTATTAATACCTTGAAATCAACAACTTCACCAATACGACAAACAATTGATTTCACGTGAGGTTTTACTGCTTTCATATCCCTAAAAAAAACTCTGCTGAAGATTTATCTGTGTTTTTAGTTTTACATTCAGATTCAAAATATACATTTATAAAGATATTTAATTTCAAAGAGTTTTAAAAGGATACAAGAATTCAATGTTGTTGTTTGAAAATAAATACGAAACAGGGCGGATCCATAGCTCATAGGTCAAACAAAAAAAGGTACAGGGAAGATGTTGAGAAGCAGTATGTGCAAATGGACTTTAAAACCGATAATGAGTGACGATACCATGTTCAGCAAGAAGCGCTTCCGCTCCATTCATGAACGTTGTGATCGTCACTTTATTGCATTTCGCTTAAATTTCTAAAACACCGCATTTAGTTTTACCATATATTCGGTTGCTAAAATTTTCATACCATGATTAAAAATTTATAAAAGGTATTGACATTAATATCTCATTCATAAAGTCGGAATATAATTGTAAGCTGTGGAAAATGTCTAATGCTTTGAGAGTTTGAAATAAGTTAAGATAAATGCAACGGATTGAGTTTGAAGGTAAAGTGACTGGTATTTATGTATTTTTATTTATTCAATAATATTTAATTAATTTGCATATCTTTATCGCAAATTTTGTTAGTTCGTTTTTTATTGTATTTTTTTTTTGGGGGGGGGGGGGGGGGGGGGGTTGAGGGTGAGGGGAATATATTTTTTATACTGTATACATAATTTTTTATCGTGGGAATATTACTGGGACTTCTTAGTTGTCTGTCTTCCATTTTCAGACTTATTGCCAATGCAACTGAATTAGATTGTTAGGTTTCTTTACTATTGATCTATTCATTGTTATACATGATATTTACATGTTATTTTTCATACGATAACCGCCTCGGTAGTCTCGTGGTAGCGTGTTTGGCTCGAGTGCGGGAGGTCGTGGGTTCGAACCCCGTCCGGGTCAAACCAAAGACTTTAAAATTGGTATTTGCTGTTTCTCCGCTAAGCACGCGTCATTAAAGAGTACAAGCAAAGACTGGTCGGCTCGGAGTCAGAATAATGTGTCCGGGTAAGGTGACTGCGGACTGTTACCTTGTAAACTAGCACGTTAAAAATCCGGCTGAGTGTGTTGGTCGAGAACAAAGCAGGATTTATATTCATACCACATTAACATGTTCTAGTCCTTAATATGCATATTAATTTGCCGCTGGACGTCAAGCAGCCATCCACCCATCATCATCATACGATTTACTACCGAAGGAAGGTCGGTGGTTCTCTCCGGGCACCCCGACTTCCTCCACCAATAAAAAGTGACCACCACGTAGTGCTGAAATTGGCGTTAATCATCAATCAATCAATCAATCAACCGTTTAAAAAACATATCTAATGAACTAGGGGATTCCATAAATACTTTGTAGGGGTCTCAAAGGCCGAACAAAAAGGTCACAGGGAGGCAGTAGGTAGACTACAAATGAACTTTAGAACTGAAAGCATGTGAAAGTTTCAGCAAGACAAACTGGGGCCTGTTTTTTTTCGGAGCGCCCTTGGGACTAGGACATGTCATAAGACCACCTAGTAATTTATTCCTAAGATTTATCTTAGAACAGATTCTAGGACAGCTTCGATAATCAGGTCCCTGGTCTTTTATAGTTTACTATACGGTATGGGTTTTGCGGACTGTTGAATGTCTAAGTTGAACTTTAGTTGCCTATAGCTACGTCATTTGGTTCCTAGATGGATTGTGATACCATATGTTATAGTTATAGTGATAGTTATGTAGCCACGGGTGATATTTTGAAATTATTTCCCCTTTATCTTTTATCGGCTAGGGGAATACCTTAGGCTGGCTTAACACAATACTTTTGATTGGTTGTAGCTTGAATGATATTATTTAAGGTTTTTCTTGATATTTCTTTAGTAGCGATACAACAAGATATTTTATTTTTTTTTGATATTATTAATATTTTATGACATTTTGTCCTTCAATTTCAACAACAACAAAACCAAAAATGTTTAAGAAGAACATCATTAACAATACCAACATTATGTTGGAAGAATACAAATGAATTCATTATCGTTTTTCTCTCTTATCACTATAAATTAAACAAGTGCTGCTAACTTTTAAAAAAGATACCTGATGCATTCAGATGTGAGCATAGAGTTTAAAACAAACCATGAATCTTTATCAGGTTTTTTTAACATTGTTAATTTAAAAAATGCACACAATTTGACGGCAAAAGGCTGACGATTCTGAAAGTTGAGTATATGCGCTTTTCTCTAAAGAATTAAAATATATACTGCATGGTTCGTACCTAAATGAATATTTATTTATATATATATATATATATATATATATATATTTCAGAGATAAAGACGTATATACCTTTAGCTGTGAAATAGACATAAACATACGATATTAGTAGGTTACAATCTGTAAAAAATAACAAACTTGAAACAGTTTAGAACCATGAAGAAATGTCAATTATGACTATATGTCAAGCACGACTTTAACAATTAGAGATACAACCTATTTCGGTGTGTATATCGGGGACGGACGGACGTGAAATGGAGATGATCTATATAATATAGCTTTTGACAAGTCATTAAATTTGCAATATATGTATGTTGACATTCTTTATTTCAAATATAATATTTTGTACTCTTTGAATTTCTTATTACGTATTGGAAGTTTTAGCTGCACTTGCAAACTTATACACAAAGTCGATAAGATATATATATAAGCACTCGGGCTATTAATAGCCTAATTGACCTGGTAGATCTAATGAACCTGACAGTGATATTTACCTTCTCGTGTTTTAAAGGCTTAGCCTACACAATCAAAACAGTTTGACATTGGCGATAATGAAGCCTTCTTTACCTGAATTTATCTTTATTTATCTGAATAATTTCATTTTTAAAATTGATTTTAGGTCCGTAATATTTTTTTTTTATTGTAGCATATATCTTTTTTTGTTGGTCTTTGTTCAATTCCGTAATTCCGTTCACTCAGAATAAAGATTTGTGACAACATGCTTGCCGTTACCATAGTTAAGAGTCTTTTAAAAATAGGTCACAAACCGAAATTATTACTGACTGCGTCAGTAATAAACATTCGGATTTACCAAATTATGAATGGCATATTGATTGCTATCATTTTGACAGGAGGAAAACATTACAATTATTTGTTTTTGTTGATTAATATAGAAATGATCTTATATTCTTGCAATGTTTATTTTTCAGACAAATGGATTCCACTTTCTATGATGAGTACAATATTACACAGATTTTAATAGAAATTCTGAGGCAAAATCAAAACATATCAAATGAAGCTTTACTTGAGCATGCCCAAGTACTTCTCAAACAACTCACGTTTGATCGAGAACTTTCATCTTACACAGAATTCAGACTTCACAAAGCAATGTTACTCTACGTGCCACCTATACTATTGGTGTTAGGAGTGATCGGAAATGTTTTATCATTCTTTATTTTACGACATAAAACAATGACTAGACAGTCAACAACTTTATTCCTGGCAGTTCTTTCGATAGCAGATTCATTGGTTCTATTTATAGGACTTTTCCGGAAGTGGATTGGGGAAATAACTGGCCTTGACATTCAGCATGAGTCGATGTTTTTATGCAAGACAATAACAGTATTGGCATACAGCGTTAGTCATTATTCTGTTTGGCTGATTGTTGCAGTGACTATAGAACGATTTATCGTTGTGTGTAGACCTCTTCAAGCTTCTAGATATTGTAAACAAAAGAGAGCAAGAAAAGTGGTGCTTATCATGATTTTCATTTTTCTAGCTATTAATGCTCATTTGTTTTGGACAGTCGAACTAACGGAACAAAATCTTAACAGAAAAACAGTACTCAGATGTGATGCTGGACCAAACTTTGTTGAGTTCATTGACCGGATTTGGCCATGGATCGATTTAGTTTTGTATTCATTGTTCCCTTTAGTTATATTGTTATTTTTTAACACACACATAATAAGACAGGTTGTGAGAGCGACAGCAGGAAGAGATATTTTACAAAACGGCCCATTAATGAAAGTAGATTCGCGTAGGAATACAAAAGATGCAAATCTCAAACTGACAATTATGTTATTAACAATATCATTCACATTTCTTGCAACAACAGTACCAATGAATGTTGTTATGATCGCTTCAGTGGTCTGGAGAAATGAAATGGATAATCCAAAGCAATTTGCCAAATTAGTACTGATTCGAACAATATCTGAACTACTGATGTATCTCAATCATTCAATCAATTTCTTTTTATATTGTGCAACAGGACAGAAATTTAGAAATATTGTGTTAAGAATGATTTGTGGTCGATCGACGTCAAACATATCTAACTTTTCAGATCATAGTCAGCATCTTTATTGTTCGAGAGCTAACAATAACTGTAATGGTCACAAGAGTGAGAATGAAACGGCTCTATAAAAAATATGTGATATTTCCGTTGTTCTGCGCAGGGTAACTTTAATATTTTTATTAATATTTCATTCCTTGTTATTGTTGTTGTTTATTAAATTATTTTTATTTATCTATTTATTTATTTTAATTATTTATTTATTTTCATATTGATATGGTTCCGTTAGTGGTCTACCAGTACGTAGAAGTTATCCTATCCAGAAATTAATGTATCGACTGTTCATAAGATAATATAAAACACTCAAACATCGATTCATAAACCGAAGCTGAACATACAAATAGTAAAAGCAAGAATATCAAATTATGGTCAATAAGACTGAAATAACAAGACCCGTCGCTTTGTGATTAAGCGTGGACTGAGGAATAATGGAAGGAATGCAGTAAGATGGCGATTAAGCATTACTATTGTTTACCTTGAACACGCTGGTTAATTGTAATCCCTACCAGAACATGAATCACTTATAAAACAAGCCATACATCAAATTTAGCAAAAATAACCCATTACCCCTGATGTATAAAAGTAATCAAATCCAAATGTGGTAAAGTGCGACCATCTACACACGATGACTTAAAAGCAAATGGTAAGAAAGCTTTAGGTCAAAAGTTTGAAGAGTGTTAACTCCCGCAAAAATAGACAAATATTTAATTTTGTACGTTCAACAACACAACATGACAAACAATCCTACTACGTAAGAAAACGTGTTAAAAATGTGTCATTGAGCAACGATATGCAAAAATGGTCAATGTTCCATACGTCCAGCAAATACTGTTAAACAAAAATGGCCGTATAGAATGGTCAGCTACATATAATAACAACGTATGAAAACATGCGGACACATAGTCTCAGAGAAGTTGAGTTTACTAGATTTCATTACCGTACAATAGAACGAAATTGGCCAAAGTTCCATTATTCCCGCAAAAATAGTCAAATCTAAATGACAGTCTTAATGTGGACAACTATACATATGACGATAAACATTCCTGTCAAATATACAAAGCATATGTGTCAATAGTCTCAAAGAAGTTGAGTTCAAAAGGTATTATCATGCTATAATATGCCCACAATTGTTAAAGTCGTATAACTCTCGCAAAGTTTGTTAACTCAAAATTGTGTAGTAGGGCCAACTCATTGCTGAAGGCCGTACGGTTGCCTATAATTGCTTACATCACCTTCATTTGAACTTTGGTGGATAGGTGTCTCATTGGCAATCATACCACATCTTATTTTTATATACATAATGAAAAACAATTTCAATAGGTTTAAAAGCTTTCAAACATATTTTCATTAGAGATAGCATTCATGCAGAAGCATAATACGACAACAGGTCAAAATTGTTAAAGTCAACAACTCCAACAAAAAGTGTCAAATAAAAAAGGTAACATGATATCAAACAATTCTACAAAGTATGAAATCTTACGGTTACTATATAATGTCTGTGATCTTTAGTCAATTGAAGTTGTTAGAGAATCTTTCAATTGTTTTTTTTTTATTCAATAATAATATCATGTTTGTATGTGTAGGTGGCTGAAACTTGATGCATTGTATAATATGCATCACATTGTTCTGTGAAGAAATATAGCCAAACAAACTGTCAAACCCAAACAAAACCAGATTCAACATATATCTATCTGTAATACGATATACTAAATGTACGTGTAAAAGCAATCGGTGGTGTTTTTTGTATTCAAATTCATTAATAACTAAAAGAATTAAAAAACCTACCATGATGGAATAAATAGATGATGGACAGTCTGATAAGACAAGACTTGGGAGATTCAAACACAATGATGAGAAAGATACTTAATAGAGATTTCGCACAAAAATCAATGTCATAAGAATTAAAACTAGAAACAGCATTACTTATTTTCATTGTAAAGAGAACAGTTTTAAGGGGAAAAACAAAATACACAAAAGGGATAATCCGAATTTAGGCGTAAATCGTTTAACAGACAGTACGACGTTTAAAAGGAAAAACCAAAAAGCAAAAAGACATTTTTAGTTTATGTGCAGTAGTTGTCGTTTGTTGATGTGGTTCATAAGTGTTTCTCGTTTCTCGTTTTTTATATAGATTAGACCATTGGTTTTCCCGTTTGAATGGTTTTACACTAGTAATTTTTTGGGGCCCTTATAGCTTACTGTTCGGTGTGAGCCAAGTCTCCGTGTTGAAGACCGTACTGTGACCTATAATGGTTTACTTTTATAAATTTTGACTTGGATGGAGAGTTGTCTCATTGGCACTCATACCACATCTTCTTATATCTAAAGTTTTACCTTTTGGTTTTAATTCTCTTTTAAAACGTTTATGTTTTTGTTTGTGCTATTTTTCTACTTTCGTCTATTGCCAAATATTCCAGTAAATCTTACCAATGTACTGTTGTTGTGATAGACAGGTGATTTCATATACCGTCAATTATGTACTATTGTAAAACATATTACATGTATTTGGATGGCAAACTATCGGATTTATAAGGTAAATTAATGTTTTTCGTCTGTACTTTTCAAATTGCTGTCTGTCTTTTTGTAATTTATCAGACAGTCAAGTAAGGATGCATGAATTATGAATAGCAATTACTCTGTTGGATATACGTAAATGAGACAGCAATCCAAAGAATGCTTTTGAAACCGGGAGAAATCAGTTTTGAAATAGCTGGTCGAATGGGCATTACTTGTCAACAACTCTTAACTGCATGACGATTTCAAAGTAAGTACACCAGGACTACGAGTGATTTGGGTCATCATAGTATTGTGAAACAAAACTCATCATAAACGCGCAAAAAATGAAATAAAGGCCAAACAAAGTACAAGGTTGAAGAGAATAACATATAACTGTTTTGTATATAATGGAATCTTTGTCAAATGCGTATTTGATATGGAAATATTAAAACCTGAATTCATTTCATACACATTCCAAAATGTCCTTCTATACTTAATCAAATTTACAGTATCACAACGGCATGTGTATATTTTGAAGTTGTAACAACATCGTGTTGTATGTGAATTATAATAAATGCAAATTTGGGTACTTATTGAAAAAGGGAACGATAAGAACATTCTTAACCAAACTTAACCTAAGTTAGATAGAAAATAAAATTAGGATTTGTCTTTCAAAAACACAATTTATTTAATTTTAGTTATGGATGTACTTGCTTTTACAAAAACTTTCAGGGGGTTGATTCGTAACGTCATTGTTGACGTCATCCGACAAGGAAATGAATTCATCGCATACAGGACACCAATACACATGACACGAATGTGTTTAGAACATGCTTGACAACTAGTCACGTGCCCAGAAAGACTTATGGATGGTACTATTGTCCCGCTTTTGTGTGTAATACCATCCAAAAATGAGGCCACTAGTGGTTCTTTGTTGAAATAGTACAGAAAGAAGAAAAATCTACACTTGCAGAGTTGTGCAAAATAGATCCTACATTTAATTGCTAAAAAAAATGGCCCAGTTTGTAAAATGATTGCATTTTAAGCTTAGAAAGACATGAAAAGTATGATGCATATGTCATTAATGCTGAGCCGACTAATACGACTTGATGACCGCAAGTCACGCATTATTTGCCACGATTTTAAGGGATATGACTTTGTATTAACCAAGGAACTTCCGCCAAATTTCCATTCAGAATTCCTCGATTGTGTAAATATAGTGTGTATGTATCTCGAGTTTTCCCTAAGTTCTACTGAGATTGCTATAACAGGTTTCTATCGTAAAAGGATGATATCTCTTTTTTTTTTGTGACAAGGTTTTTGATTTGCAGAAAATTTTCGCCACAGACAGTCTAAACGATTTGATTGGTCAGAATGTTGTGCAGCTCTTTTTTAATTCTCATCAAAGTTTAGTCAGTACTACGGTACGGACATGATTTATAACAAACTTTTCTAAAATTGTCCGTTTATGAATTTTGAAATTATAAAGAAACTAAGGTTTCAACTCCCTCAGGCAAAGTTGACCTTAGATGAATTTGGCTATTTGTTTTAGGTATTTTTGTCATATAGCTCTTCAACTGTTTCGGTACTTATACATCCCTCGGATTTCAAATGTTTGGCATTGAGCGTTCCTGATGAAGGTAAATCCAGAAAAGCGCTTCGGACGCATTAAATTATTAAACGTGTTGTTTTCAATTTTTCAACACGAGAATTTAGTATGGAAAAAAATCGAGATACATAACACTACCTGCAAAAACATGGAGTTCAAACGGGTAATTGGCGGGAAATTAAAGGTCAATACATATCAACAAGGTTAATACAGAAAATTTCGTTCTATTACTCTTGGAAAAATAAAATATTAAAACAAATATTACTAGGAAAGTTTTATTCAAAATAAAGTCGCACTTTTCATGCATGAATTTCAACCCATTCTGGCACCCTTAATAAATGTCAACTAGCATTTCATTGCAAATAACCTAACCTGAAGTAGATTGAAAGAAATTTTGTACTTTCTGTTTGAGTTTTAAGGTTTCATTTCAGGTATCATAAATTGTTTTTCAAACCCCCAAAGTATAAAAAGATGATTTATTTAAATCTTGTTTTCCCACCTGCTAATTGTTTTTTAAAAGAGTAACTGATGTGATCGATGTCTTTTATTCATTCCACAGAAAGCTAAATTTCATTTCAATTATTGGAAAATTTAAAACTGTTTCAGTCAAACTTATATGTAAGTGGGCTTTGTATATCATGCACACACAACACACAGAGAGAGAGAGAGAGAGAGAGAGAGAGAGAGAGAGAGAGAGAGAGAGAGAGAGAGAGAGAGAGAGGACCATAAGCGTATATTCATGACCAGGAGAATCTATACAAGGATATCTATGGTCGGACCATATGAGTATTATACTCGTTTGGTTATTAACGAGCGGGACCATATGAGTATTTAGACCATATAGGTATTTTTCAAATAAATTCTAACTTCCTTCGCAGTAGAACACAGCTCATTCTCCAAACCCAAACCGGTACGAGTTACTAACTGAATTCCTTTATCTTTACATATTGTATGAATCTTGGTGTATCTGTTATCTTGCCTTCGCTAGAATTAA